TATATATATATATATATATATTTATGTGTGTGTGTGTCTATCCTGAAAAATATGTAGATCAAGACAACTTAAAAAATTATTTTCAACTTTAAACTAAGCATGCAAAAATTTCATTATTTTAATTATATATATATATATATATATATTTATGTGTGTGTGTGTCTATCCTGAAAAATATGTAGATCAAGACAACTTAAAAAATTATTTTCAACTTTAAACTAAGCATGCAAAAATTTCATTATTTTAATTAAAAGTCTAAGTTAAGGCTTAAGTGAAGTATACTACTTTGAAAATTATTTCTTAAGAAATTTATTTAGAGTTATCATAAAAGGTGAACTTGAATATAAAACTAACTAGGGAATATAAATTTAAAATTTATCAAATAGATCAATTATGCATTGACTTGATCAAATTGGTAGAAATAATAATAATAATTATTTTTACTAAAAACTAACAAAAGGAAAGTGCTAACTAGAAAATTGGAAAAGTTACTAAAACTTAGAAAAACAAAATACTTACTAACAAATAAAGCAAAATGAAAATAAAGCAGCTAACTAGCTCACACCCTATACCTAGACTTTGCGTATCCTCAAGGTAAATACTAGCAATAATATCCAAAATATCACAATATATAAGTACATGCTAAAATAAAAGTCAAATACTGGATGAAAGAAATATCTCTCACTGCTCATCACCAGACGGATCATCATCCACATCATCAGTGGCAACTCCTGTACTAGGTCCAGCTTAATCCTCCCGAAAAATCATCAGGCTGATGCGGTGTGGCAAAAGTCTGAAGCTCAGGTGGGGGTTCAGCTCTATCTCCTTGCACTATCTGCCACTCTCTCATCAGATATGCTAAGGACTCGGTGACATGGTTCATCTGACCCACCATCCTAGCCTGCACCTTAAGAATCTGCTGAATGGGGTCATGCGTAGCCAGTTGGCACCGAGGAGGAGCTCTATGTGAAGAACTTGACTGATCTCTTCCTGAAATACTCATCTTCACAGTCTGATCTATCAATAGCCCCTTCACTTCTTCTAGTCTATCCTCTGTGAAAATTGGAATGAAAAATCTATGGCAAAGTCTAGTAATCAAGTAGGGGTAAATAAGCTGAACTCTCGACCTAGACTGTGTCCTGGCCCACTCTAGCACACCCTCCACTAAAGATCTCATCCATACATAGATAATCATGGTTGTATCAAACGTCGACCAGTGGCTATCCAATAGAGGAGTATATTATGTGTGGTGATGGTTGTGTATGCAGTGGTGGGTTTTAGATCAAAGTTCAAAAAAGATTGAGTAATCTATACTTAGGCTTGAGATTTCCTAAACCAAAACTGGATGTGAAGATCCTCCAACACAAAATCATAGACATATCATTATATTCTGGTGTACCGGGTTGTAAGCTAGAAACTAACTGAATGTAATTGAGTACATCAGCCGGTGGGTCCTCAAGTTCAAGAATATCTCGAAGTGTGGGAAGATTAATGACTACATTAGCACCCCTAATTGTAGAAAAAGTCAAAAATTATTTATCTGGGTCAAATTTCCATCTAGTATAAAATTCATGAACTAAGGAAATATTTAATTTGTCTAGGGATCTATCCATAATACTCCTAAGTCCTATTGCGATCATCATATCAATTGTAGATTTATATGTTTGAAGTGCAATGATTTGAAATCCCCTTTCAAAATGAATATTTAGACTCACAATCCCAGCCAAAAGTGCGGTTTTATCTAAATCATCATTGGATAGAACTTGAGATGACGACGAACTCGCTCGAGATCTTTTTCTAGGAGGCATCTACAGAAATATTATGTTTTAATACAATTAAAACATCAAGACTCCCCCCCCTTTTTTTGATATAAAAGAATTTAGCTATAAATAATTCAACATGAGTTAGTTTCAAGTTATCAAAATTATGATTTGTGATATAAAGAAATTTTGATAACTTCATCTATGAATAATGCATGTTGATATGACAAACAATAAGCTAAACCTTTACAAATTTTGAGTTTGATAAAACACCCTATTCAAACCCTCAATTTGAATATATAAATAAAAATTGACAATGTGATCAGTTTCTACCATGAATCTTTACACAAATATGATAACAACCAAATCTTCTCCATGATTCAACCAATAGATCAACCCATGTACACAATTACAGAATAGAAAAAAAATTGAAATTATAAGATCAAGATGAGAATTATACCTTAGTGAGATGTTTAGATGTAGAAGAAGCCGAAAAAAATTAAAGAAAACGCCTCCAATTGCTCTTGATTACATGTAGATGGGGTGGGTAAATTTGGGTTTGAGAGAGAGGACTCGAGTTGGGGAGGAGATGAAAAATAGGGGAGAAGAAGGAATCTGTGGTTTTTGAAGTTGCAGTTTAGGTATCAATGCTAGTATCGATAATGGTATCGATAAATGGAATCAAACGATACCAAGCCGTTGGGCACAACGCCCAAATGTGATTTTATTTTATTTTTTTCATTTTTTTCTCTAGGTTGGTGAGTGGCTATGGGCTTTATATATATATATAATATTATTAATATATATATATATATATATATATATATATATATATATATATATATATATATATATATATATATATATATATATATATATATATATTATATATATATATATATATATATATTATGGCCTAAACAAATGATACATTTTTTCTTTCTCTTCTTTTTATTTTCTCTTTTTTTATTTTTTTATTACAAATTATGTGATTCATAAAGAACCAACACCTCCTCCTCTCCGAGCGTAGAAAATGCTAAAAATGGTTTTAAACGTTGGCCATTAATCTTGAAAATATGACCATTTTTAGGATTCTCTATCTCGATAGCTCCATGTGAGAAAACTCGATTAACAATTAATGGACCTGTCCATCTTGATCTCATTTTTTTAGGAAAAAGATGCAATTTTGAGTTGTAGAGTAAAACTTTTTGTCCCGGTGTGAAATTCATCCATAAAATTGAATTATCATGAAAAATCTTGGTTTTCTCTTTGTAAATTTTTGAGTTTATATATGCATCGTTTCGAATTTCTTCTAATTCATTCAATTGGAGCAATCTGGTTTTTCATGCCGAGTCTAGGTCGAGATTCAATTGTTTAATAGCCCATATTGTTCGGTGTTCCAACTCCACTAGTAGATGACTAGCTTTTCCAAACACGAGCCTGTACGGTGACATTCCTAAATTAGTTTTGA